TAAAGATAACTTTCACGGGGAGAAAGACCCCCGTGACTGTCCACAAAGGGTGCCGAGCCAAGCCCCTTTGTCTGTACTCAGCTGCTGGAGCACCCATATCCATTTCAGGAGAGACATGTGAGACCCTCTGTCCATTACAGGGCAGACTGGGGCCTGGGCCTCAAAGGCCAGGCACACTCATCAGTGGAGTCCATGCAGACTTTAGTTATTGCTGTCAAAATGATCTAAATGACACAAACACAAACATTGGGGTTTACAGCAGGCTTGTCACTGTAAAACAAAAGCACATTTATTAATTAAACCCACACAATTACGGCAACCATAAAACTCAATCCAGAGCATTCATGTATGTGACGGTTTGTGAGACCAAGTTGTCACTTATGTGAACTGGGGACCAGATGGGGACCAGATTCTTCTGGTGGTGATAAGATCCAACCCCCTGGCTGGGAAAGTGAGCCAGGACCTGCAGGCTGATAGCTGTCTGTGTCTGGTGGCTTCTAATCTATTGCTTCCATAATACCTTTAACATAGACCTGCTCCAAGCTGGGCGTCTCGGCCTCTCTGTACAAAATAGGATACTTGTGATCAACATATAAAACAAAGAAAATGAGCAGGTTAGAGTTTACGATTTTTGAGGCAGGATCTCACTCTATTGCCCAGGCTGGACTTGAACTCTGGGACTCTAGTAATCCTCCTGTCTCAGCTTCCCAAGTAGCTGGAACTATTTGTATATGTCGCCATGCCCAGCCATAATCAGATTTTTAAAGTTTTTGTTATGGATTAAAAATTAATGGTTAACTTAATGCCAGCTGGATTAAATCAGCATGGTGCTGAGTGTAGATGGTCTCCTGAGGAAAGTTGCCAGCATAAATAGAGACGTGGACAAGAGTTAGGTGTTGTGGGTTTCTCTAAAGTGTTGCTGTTTGAGCTGTCGGTTCTCCTGGAGGAGCCCATCATGACTAGCTTCCTAGTGTGAGTTCGACCTTTGTCATCAGAGGAGCTCGGGTCCTTGTTGGTGAGAGTGGCTGTGGTTCACTTTGGGGAGCTCTGGTCCTTACATTGAGCATCGCTTCCTGGCTCCGGAGGGGAAGACGTGTGCTGTTTAATCTCTAGGACAAACTCATCATGCTGGCTTTCTGGCATGTACTCGACTGTGCTTAAGAGCTCCGGACCTCCGTGTCACTGAGAATGGCTGTGGTGCTTTTCAGGACAGCCCTGGTTCTTCTTTTGAGTGTGACTTTTTGGCTCTAGCAAAGAACCTCAACCAACCCGCACAGCTCCTTCACCCTGCTGGCATAGACTTTCTAGCTTCCACTGCTGACCTGACAGAGACTGGTGTGAATCCTTGTCGTGGGCTCTAGGCCTCCAGTCGGACTCATGGGAGGCACTGTCATGGGCTCTAGGTTTTCAGCTGGACTCATGCAGGACATTGCTGTGGGATCCAGGCCCTTGGCTGAATATTCAGGGTCTTTAGTGTTGTGAATAGATTTCCTGCGCTTTCTTGTGTTAAACTCTGGGTGACCATCATAAAATAATATTATAAATTCCGTGTCCTGATTCTAATTGTTCTCCTCACAACCTCTGACTACAACATTTTTCTAGAATACATTAGAGGTTCCAGAAACAGTGTATTGAATTCCATGTTCCCTTCATCTAGCTTCATAAGGTCTCCTGATTCATTAAGTTAATATCTCTATCCATGTGTGCATTATATAATTCATGTGATAGATTCATTATTTTTGCTAAACTACTTAAGAGTAATTTTCAAACATCCTGTTTGTTAACACTAATATTTCAGTGTATGTTCCCCAAAACAGGCTATTCCATAGTCACACTTAAGAAGCTTAAGCTTCTTGTCCATTGCCAGTTCAAGCTTAACATTTATGTTGTATAAAATACAGCCTGTCCGTATTAACAATTTCCAAAACCAGTAATAATGTCCTTTAACAAATTCTACCTGGATCGCCTCTTTTTAACTTCCATTACTCTGGCCAGTTCCTCAGTCTGTCTTTGTGGGCATCTGATGTTTTATTCAGTGAGGGGAACAGAAATGGGATGAGGTTTTAGTCTTGGACATCAGTGGTCAGTTAGGTTGACCTGTCCAGTTCCTAGCTCTTTCATACTCCCAGCCCTCTTTCTGGAACCCTCTAGGAATCTCAGCCCCTCTTTTTCTGTTTCTTGGGAGCTGGCCTAAGCAGCTACCCCCAGAGCAGAGCCCAGCACCAAACTCACAATCCTTGCTGAGATGGAGGATGAACCCATCCATTGGGGCCACCAGCACAGCTGATCTAGGGACACTATTTCTAGCTGGCTGTTTCTATCGGTCAGGTCTGCAGCTTCCAATTTTCTTACCGGTAAGGAGAACTCCAGGGTTCGCTACGTCCTTTGTAGCTGTGTGGTGGAAGATGCTGCTGCTTCCCATGCAAAGTCCTGCTTCTTGTCCATTGACTGACAGACAGATGCCTCATCTGCAAGGATCCCTTCCCTACCCTCCTGCCATGGGTCCCAGCTGGGGACCTTTTCTATCCAGTCTACTCTTTGCTCACTCTCTTTTAGTGCCAGTTCAAGCGTGCAACACTGCTTTGAGCTGATACGTGCCTGTAAGCAATTGGAGGAGGAAATCCTCAAACTTACCTGGATACATCCAAACTGATGTGCACCAGGTAGGAACCCCATGCGCGCCCCGGGGGTTGCTTTTCCTTGGTGCTCTTAGTTTAGGGATATATCTGCTCTCCACACTCACGTCAATCACAAAGCAAGCTTCATCTCTATAACAGAAGAGAATGCATCTGTTCTCTAAGCCCAGACTGAAGTTATCTTGAGACCTGATTTCTGGGGTGATTCCCTCCGTAGTGGCTAGAGTCTAAATTAGTTGAGCATTTAAGATCCATGCGATTGTGGGTCAAAAGTTTGAACGCATATACAGAAATGCCAAGTAGAGGTATTTTAGTAAAGGTAATTTTGTAAAAGTAATTAAGAATTATTCTTCTAATTCAGAAGAAAGGCAGACCTGATAGATTCAGGGCTGGCAGTTTTTAATCATCCTCATCTTGTGAGTGGGCCAGTAGGGAAAGTTCGGGAAGGTTTCTACTGATGTAAACTGGAGGAGCAGAAATACCACTCTCATGAGGGTCACTGGCCGTGTTCCCCAGAGCCACTGGGTAAACTCCTTGCCCTTGGGTTATGGAGCAAAATCCTCAGCAATGAATTCAACCAGCTCATTTGGGACACTGAATAGTAGTAACAGAGGCCCCAGCTGAAAACTGCACAGTATTATATATCACAGAACTGCAGGCAAAGCACTTTCCAGTCCCAAACCTCCAGCAAACACCGGGGTGGGCGAAGAGAAAGCAGGGCAGGGAGTGGCCAGGTTGGACGTCATCAAGGAGACGGTGGCAAAGCACGGTTTGGCTTCCCCAAGGGTGGCCATCACATCTCCACCAGCTGGAAGTCCTCACAAGCAGCACAGCTGGGTGCAGGTCTCCGAGGACCCCATGTCTTCCTCCGTCCTGTGCACTAGAACTCAGGCCCATGTTCAGGCCCATTTCACAGATGTCACCTTCGCCTGAGAAGTGGTATTCAGAGAGGTCCCTTTGCCCCCAAATGCACAGCTGTGACTCCAAAGCGGACACGGTCTATGTTCAGAACTAGTGCTCCTGGTCTAGGACATCTCCCTGGTCCTGTTCCACGCTGCCTCAGGCTTCTGGCCACCTGGCCAATGACTCCATCAGGGTCCAAGCTCCCAGTGAGACAGAACCCTGGACAGGTCTCCAGGTCTCCCTGAGCCCCAAGTGGAGTTCAGTTGTCCCTGTGATGCTCCATTGTTCTCAGCGTCCAATACAGGGACCTTGAGACCAACCCACCCACCTCTCCGCGGCAGGCCCTTCCACACACCTGCCCAGGCAGCGAAGTGGCTGCTCGCTCCATCGGGACTGCCTTTTGCCTTGCTGGTCAGCCCCATCTCTGCAGCACCTGCTCCAGCCAGGGTCCGGTCTGAGGACCCCCAGGGCTCAGGGGCCAGGGTGAGCCTGGGGCAGGAGAGCACACAGTCCCCTCTGGTAGACCCAGGAAGCATCCCTCACGGGCTTTTTCTGTGCAGAGATCCCAACCCAGCTTGTGAGATGGGCCTGAGTACACAGCCTGGCTTTGGCTCAGTGACCCGCCAGGCCACCATGCTGCAGGTCTCAGGCTGTGACATCACTTTTCCTCTGTCTCCTGCTTCTGTGTCCTGACAGGTGCTGGCTGCTACCTTAAGGAACTGTCCCATCTGTTCTTTTTAACCCCCGGCAGGGTGGGACCCGTGGTACAGATGGGGGAAACTGAGGCACAGGGCGACTAACAGTGGTCCTGGCTCTCACATTTGTAAGCCACCTGACCCTGGGCACTGTAAGAGCTCACAATTACTAATACTTTTCACCTATTCCAGACTTGTCTGCGAGGACCCTTTCTTTCCAGGGGTGCCCACCCTGGACCATCTTCTCCAAGTTCAGCAGGGTCTTCTCCCTCTCAGCAGCTCTGGGGTCACAGAGACCCAAGATGAGTGAATGCAGGGCCTCAGCATGGTCTTAGGTCGGCTTTCCTAGAGGAAGCCCGCTCCCAGGACCTTATCTTAGCGGTCAAGGACACTGGCACATGGAGCAGGTGTGTCCGTTTGCAGCCACAGGCGGCTTCCAGAACCAGTGCAGGTTAGGGCCAGCGGTAGTGTGCTGGGCTGAGGTGGCCTGGGTTCTGCTGGACCAGGGGCTGGGCAGGTGGTGGGCGGGCCTGGAGAATGGGCGGGACGGGGCCGTGCCGGTGAGTGGGCGTGATGGGTGGGGGCGTGGCCGGTGAATGGGCGGGGCGGGAGGGGGCGGGGCCGCTGAATGGGCGGGGAGGGCGGGGCTAAGGGTGGGCGGGGTCATCAATGGGCAAATGGCTACGCTTTAGGGGTGGGGAAGGGGCTGTAGGGGGCGGGGCCGAAGCGTTGGTGGGAAGGGGGCGGGGCCGAGGGTCAGGGTCTGGGTCTGTGCAGCCGCAGGCTGAGGGCTGAGCGCTGAGGGCCGGGGGCGGGCGCCGGGCAGGACCAGGGCCGGGCAGGAGGTGGTGGCGCTGGCGCTCCCGGCGTCACAGCGCCAGGCCCGCGGCGGCGGCGGCGGTGGCGGCGGGGCGATGCGGCTGCTGGCGCTGGCGGCGGTGCTGTGGGCGCGGGCTCCGGGCCCGGGTAAGCTGAGGGCTCGGGAGACCCGGGGGTCTGGGATCGGGGCAGGGGCGGATCGGGCGCCTCCCGTCCCCTCCCTGCCGCCAGGGGTCAGGACCCGGCGGGCTGTCACACCGTGCGCCCTCCCCTCCGGAGAGGCCCGGGACAGCGCGTCGTCCCCAAGCTGCAGGCCTGCCCGGGCCAGCCTGGCAGGGGTCGGTGCCTTCTCCTCCGCAGTCAGGCGCCACTCGACAGCGCTGTCCCCGCCGCCTGGGACCGGGACGGGGTGGCTGGGCCTGGGGGACGGCGTCCTGGGGAAGCCGCGCGCTTGCCCGCACGCACCCGCCTGCACGGCCTCTGCCAGCGCGAGCTGCCACTGCAAACTTTGGAAAACTTCATTGCGCTCTGGATTCACCAGGGCCGCAGCTGGAGTGACTGTGAGAACCCGCGTACGTACGGTGGCTGCCGTTTCCTGAGCACCAGTCCAGGTGCTAGTCCCGGGCCAGCTCTGTGTAATCGCAGTTATCCACAACAATATGTCAAAGTTACAGTGAGAAGAGCAGCTATTTATAGATTCAAAGCACTTCACAAAACATGAACTCAGTTCATTTGCTGCTGTTACCGCCCGTTGCAGGTGGGGAAACTGAGGCACGGGCCCATGCCCTGATAAGGATAGAGCTGGAATATGAACCCCCCCCCCGGGGGAATCTTGGCCCTGGACTGCTCACAGCTTCTAAGCTGTTTGGCATTTGCTTTGTAAATAAGGAAAATGACCTGCACACAGTGGGAAGTAATTTCCCACTGGTGACCCTGTTCCCAAGCTTGGGCTGGAGGAGGAGAGATTTGGACACCAGTGGGTAGAGATCCACCCAGTGTCCTCTGGCTCACGTGGGCGGCAGGACTTCTGGGAGCCCGGAAGGGGCCGTGGGAAGAGCTGGCTGTCATCGTGGTCACTGCTTTGGCTGCTGGGATGGCTGAGGCTTGGCTGAGGAGCAGACCAAGTCCCCTCTCGTGGCAGCTGCCAAGTGGTGGGTGCTGTGGGCTTCTCTGCAGGGTGACCCCTGCCTTCCTGATTGTAGGGACTGTCAGAGAGGTTGCCCCAATATGCAGTGTTTAGGTCAAGGAACCCTGAGAACTGGACTTTGGGGTCCTGCAGGCTCTGTCCTGTACCAGAGCCCCATACTCCTCCTTGGGTGGCCCTCACCACGTGTCTGCCATCACATGTTCTAGGTTTCCATCAGGACTCCTGCCCCCAACCCCCGCTGGTCCTGAAATGAGCACCCCACTGTGCTCCTGCTTGCCAGGACTGGTCCTTCAGTGTCTCTTCCCCCTAGAGATCCCACGTGCGTGAAGCCACGTAGTACACAGAGGCCAGGCTCTGCCTTAGCCAGCTCAGTGCAGGAAACAGCCCTGCCCAGGGGACTCCCTGCAACCTGACAGCTGTGACCTCCAGCCAAGCTTCCCAGCTGGGGGTGGGGGGGTGGGACCCAGCCATCTCAATTTCAATCCCAAACCTTTTGTGTTAAAGGTGGATGTGAATATTTTTAAAATTCTCATCAGTGCATATTTGCAGTATGCAACGTGTCTGTTCCTTGTGGGAACCTGGTACCTGTACATAACACATCTTAATTCCTTGTCTTTTCTTCCCCCTTCCATTTGCAAAAGGTTTATCTCTGTTTCCTCTCTTTTATCTTGCTCTTTAAATGGTTTGAACTTTGGGTTTCCCACATAAGAGAAATGATGCAGTATTTAAGGTTGTATGTCTCGTGTATTTCACTGAACATTACAGTCTTGATCATCAGGTTGCATCTGTCTGCTGGGGAGGCTAAAACAGAGCACCCCAGATGGAGGTTTAATCAATGAGAATTTACTTATACACAGTTCTGGAGGCTCAAGGTGTCAGCTCCGGGCCTCTGTCCTCTGTTTGCCAATAACAGTGGGCATCTCCTCTCTGTGTGGGCACCGTGTGCATCTCTTTCCTAAGGTCATGTTGGAGCAGAGCCCACCCTGGGTACCTTGTGTGGACTTATCCCCTCTTTAAAGGCCCCATCTCCCAGTACAGTCAGACACTGGGTGCTGGGGTTAGGATTCCTACATGGGACATTTTGGGGGGCGTGGGACATGAAGAGGATCTTTACCCTGTGATGGAAGAAACAGGTACCCCATCCATTTGTCAGAGAAAACAAGGCAGAACTAAGGCGGAGAAGAGAGGGTGCTGTGAGAGAGAAAGCGGGTGTGTCCTGGAGGCTGGCCGTGGCCCTGTCTGTCCGCATCTGGTCTGTCCAGCCCTTCTTGGGAACCCTGGAGCTCCCCAGGGCTGCGGCACTTGGCACACATGCTCCTTGTTGCAGTCACTGTAAATCAGCACGCAGCCTCACTAGGAGGAGCCTGGGGCATGGGTCACTCCCTGTCTTCCCATGCATGGTTTCCACTTCCTGCCTTCCCAGCTCCCTGGGGCCCCTGGGCTGGGAGGGGCAGGCCTTGGCTTCTGGAGGCCAGCTGCAGTGCCTCTGCTGTCTGCCCTGGTGGCTGCTGGGGTGGGGGTCCCAGCTGCCCCTTGCTCTCCAGGAAGCCCCGTCGTGGGGGCTTCACCATCAGCAGGGAGTGCAGCAGGGCCAAGGGTAAGAGCCTGCCTGCCAGGTGGGGACCGTTCCTGGAGGAGCTGGCACCAGGGGCAGGGTACACTCCTTGCAGTCCAGGAGCACACATTTAACTACATTCATAAAATGCTTTTTGTCACATGAGGTGACAGTCGAAAGTTCCCAGGGATTAGCGCAGGACACCTTGGTTTGCTATCCGTGTTTCCAGGTGTCTCCCTTGGTTGGCTTTGTCCCCATCATCATGGTGCATGCAGGGGACCTCCTGTCTGTCCCTCAGGGGCTTGGAGTCCAGCTGAGTCCAGCTGGCCTGGTTTCTTCCTGATTTTTGTCCCCTCTGCTGTCATGGTGTGGCATGCTGAGGATTGGCCCCCAAACATGCTATGTCCCCATCTACCTATGACAGATGTTTGCTGGGTGCCGGTCAGTCAATGTTGTTGGATGGCTTTGGAGAGTCCTATGGGCCAGTGCCTGGCTCCTAAGAGCTTAGAGATGGATAGAAAGGCAGCTCACCGTGACCTCAGAATGCTCGAGGCAGTTGGTATATGAAATCCACAAGGGAAGCTAAGGAAGAGCTTAGCTGCTTTGAAGGATCTGTCCCCCCTGCAGCTGAGCTGAGGTTTAATTTCCAGCAAGAGGCAGGAATTTCAGAGGCGATCAGGGCTCCCTCCTGAATAGAGGAACCCACTCCTCCAATGAATGGGTTGGGGGCTAATGAGCGATCCTGAGAGTGTGTCTACCATCAAAGCCAGTGGGGTGGGCCTCTCAGACACCCAGTTTCTGGTCACATGATGCCCTGGGCCACTCTAGGGCTCCATATCACCAGGCACGGCCTCTTGTACTTGGACCAGAACCTTCTCAGTCTGTAGCATCGTGCTGTTAGCCACATAAAGCAAACGAAGACCTGTTGTCCGTGGTTTACACGGAAGATTGCTTTCTCTGTGACATCCTCGGAACAACCTCATGGCCCCTCAGGGACCCACACCCTTCTTGTCAAATTCCAAATCTTTCTCTTTTTTCTGCTTGCTCTTTGAGTGACTGCAGCACTGACCAGGGGACAAGGTTTTTGGTGACTCTGACATCTGGGGCCCAAACTCCTTCCTGTAACCAGAAGGAGATGTCAGGGGTCTAAAGCTGAGGTTTGAAATGGCCCTGGGGAAGCCTGCTGCTGTGGTTGTGTGGGCAGGGGATGGTGTCTCCTTGAGTGGGAGTGGTATCCTGGGCTGTAAGGAGGTGCAAACGTGGACCTGGTGAGGGGAAGGTTTAGATTGCACAGAAAGAGTTTCCAGCACTCGGCACCAAGACCCTTTCTTGGCTCCGTCTACCAGAGTTTCTCAGTTGGTTTTTGTTGCTGTAACAAAACACCTGAGGCCTGATAATTTTTTTTTTAATCGGTACCAGGGATCAAACTCACGACTGCCTGCTTGCAAGGCAAGTGCTTATGCTGCTGAGCTAAATCCCTAGCCCCAGGACTCTCTTCCTCTGTTTACAGAGTCATTAATGCCATCCTGGGGCCACATTCCTGACCTCATGTAATCCCAATCAATCCCAAAACCCCCTCTCCAAAACCATTAACCTGTGGCTTTGGGATTAACTTTTCAACACAGGAACATTAGGGGGACAGATTCAAGCCTTAGGACCAGAAGGGTGTGCTGTTGGATCCAGGGCACTGCGACCACTGTCCCCTTTCAACAGTGGCTTCTGTTGAAGTCACAGCACTAGGCCTCTCTGAGGGCTGCTGGTCGGGATGCCCAAGCGGGTTGGGATGGCTCTGGAAAGGTCAGCTCAAGGGCAGAAGAGCAGCCGGGGTGGGCAGCCTCGGACAGTTTCTAAGAAAGCAAAGGGCAGGAAGTAATGGGTGGCGCTGAAGTTTTGCAGCATCTTTGGGAGCCTTGGCACAGTCCCTCCTCCCTCCCTGTCCCGAGGGACCATCATTCCTGCATTCTGAGAACCCAGTCCTGAGCCCGAGAAAGACCCTGAAACACTGCTCCAGCCCAGCGTGCTGGCTTAGTTCCTGCCAGGCCCCTCCTGAGTGCCTGCCCTGGCTAGAGTCAGAGGAGGGGAAAGGCTGGTTGAGGGCTGTGGCAGACAGGTGATCGGGGAGGGCAGCCTGACCCCAGTGCTGCCCACGCTGATGATTGCCGGCCTCAGAGACACTGGCTGCAAACACGGCCATAGGCCAGGCATTTTGCAGATTCCAGCTCTACAGATTCGTATGTGGATCTGAGGAATTTTAACTGTGGGTGACCAGTTACAGTTTCCTGAGCAATATACAGCCAGGTGGTGACTGTTTGGTAGCCATAGGAGTGGGGTTACCCAGACACGAGAATGTGGAGCCCTGATAGTCCCACAGGGCAGCTCTCATCTGGGGGTGAACGGGAGGCTGGGGACCACCTGCTCTGGCCACATAGGCCCAAGGGCTACCCTGGGCTTGAGGCCCTGCAGGTCCCTGGCCATGAACGGCGTCCCCGGGGGTGTAAGGCCTTCGCTCACCATTTCCCCTTTCCTGTTCTTCTGCAGAGGTCTGCTGGGCTCTCAATGTGACCGTGTCCCCGGGACCTGTGGTTGACTACCTGGAAGGGGACAATGCCACCCTCCTGTGCCACGTGTCCCAGAAGAGGCTCAAGGATAGCCTGCTGGCCGTACGCTGGTTTTTCGCAGGCGCCAACAGCCCAGAGGCCTTGATGGTGAAGATGACCAAGCTCCGGGCTGTGCAGTACTATGGGAACTTCAGCCGCAGTGCGCACCGCCGGAGGCTGCGGCTGCTGGAGGAGCAGCGTGGGGCGCGGTACCGGCTCTCGGTGTTGACTCTGAGGCCCGCTGACCAGGGCCAGTACGTCTGCCGGGTGCAGGAGATCAGCAAGCACCGGAACAAGTGGACGGCCTGGTCCAACGGCTCCTCAGCCACGGAGATGAGAGGTAGGGTGGGGAGAGTGGGGGGGAGGGGCGGGACCTGGGCCCAGCTCAGGTCAGCATGAGGGGGGCTGTGTTGGCTCCCCCTGGAATCTTTGTGGGGAATAGCTGGCTGTGTGCACTCAGGTGAGCCACCAGGCACTCCTCAGAGGGATGAGGACAGATTGCATTCAGCAGGGACTATTGCAAGAGGGCAGAGATCCACCTTGGCTATCTGTGCAGAGGGCTGGGCTGCTTTAGGGGACACAGAAGGAACTGGGGTTTGTGGAAGCTACAGAGAAATGAATGGGGCGACCCTGGGACCTGCCTGGGTTTGCTAAGGAGCTTCCAAAAGCCAACTCCCGCCTTCCCACAGGGGCTGGGGGCAGGGTCTGCCTCCAGGCCTGCAGAACCCTGCAGGAGCTCTCCGGGCGTCTCTAGGCTTCCTCCTCCAGCATGCTCTGGAGAGGGGCAGGTGATAGGGATCACTCAGGGACTCTGAGTTTTACTGGCTGGCTGAGTGTGCTCAGGGAAGACTCGATCCGAGCCCAGCCTGCAGCTCAGGGAGCCCAGCCTGCTCCGAGCCCAGCCTGCTCACCCTGGCTGGATTCACGAGGGCACTCACAGAGAGACCCACATTGCCCAGGGGGCCCTGATGTGAACGGTAAAGCCTATAACAGGACAAGCAGTGGCTCCCATGCATCGTCCCGTGGATGTGCTCCAAGCTCAGGCTAAAAAACCCTTCAGGAAGGGGGCTAAGGCCCAGAGGCAAAGCCCTTCCTGGACACAGACAGGGGTGTGCACTGCTCCCAGGACATTGTGGCCTCCCAATGCCACCTCGGAGGGCTGCCAAGCTTTGTCATCAGAGACCCGAGAAGGAAAAAGCCTCTTGCCAGTTGCACTCAGATTATACCTTGGGTTGCTTGGAACCTGGTTTAGTACAGCACAAGATCTAGAGGGTCACAGTGTGAAAATATAAACAACAGTCTAGCTCTGTTCTATATAATACTAAAGAATACTAAAGGTCGCTGTGACATTGTTTTGGTAAGCTTTTCCTTCGTTTTGATTCTGTTTTAGTTTCCTGTGCCCTTGTTTGTCTATTCATTTTTTAAGACAAAGTCTTGCTGTGTAGCACAGACTGGCCTTGAACTCACGGAGATCCTCCTGCCTCAGTTTCTAGTGTGCTGGGATTACAGGCGTGCACCCCATGCCTGACTGGGATAAAACTCAGCCGTGTAAGGTTCAGCCAGTGTGCTCCATGGATGAGGAGCATGTGAGAGTGAGGTGCTGTACACAGGAGGTCTGTAAAGCAGTGTGTGTCTCTGGAGTTTGCAGTATTGTAATGAGAGCACGCACAGGATGACATGCAAACTAAAATGTGCACTTTTTCATCTTTAGCGAATTAATTCAAGAAAACAAATGACTATTAGTATAAATATGTATTTTGGCATAAAACAGAATTGCATAAAAAAGTACAGAGACTGGGGGGGGAGAATACTACCACTCAGCCTGCATGTGTATGAGATTAATGTAATTCTGTTTTCTCATGACAGTGCATTCTGGAATTAGGCCCCAAATATCTTGGCAGTAATGAAGCTCTGTGATTAGAACATATATCAAAGCTTACGTCCTCCAAGTAAGCACGATCATCCAGCTTAGTTAATGTGAACTGACTTCAGGGAGTCTAGCCAATGTCTTCTAGAACATTCACAAGGAACTTGCTCCAAAGGCCTAAGTGGAAACAAACCCTTTCCCTTCCCTTTCCTCTCCCCAGGGCCCTTCTCTCCCATTTCTTTGTCCACTGCCTTCCCTCTGCACACTGAACTTTTTCTTCCTCTTCCTCTCCAGTTCTCCATCTCTCTGTGCTGCCCACCTCCTCCACCTCTGACCTGGAAGTGGTTCTCATCTCGCACATGGCTGCCTTCCTCCCTGGAGCCTGCAGCCGCCATGGTTTGCTGGTGGGAAGGCCCGATGCCTCAGGAAGCGATGACCATGCTTCCAGGGGGCCACGGAAGGGGACTAAGGCGAGCCACCCCTCAGTAAATGATCTGAAGCCTGACAGGCCTGGTCTGTGCTCTTCACCAAGGGGAGCTGGGGAGGCCTGGCCCAGCTGTCTCCTTTCCAAAGTCAGGACTGGGGTCCGACTCAGCTGGTTGCCTCTCCCTGGGCCTGGTGTCTGCTTCATCATCTGGGACCTGGTCCTGACTTCCGCATTTTCTTTGCATGCTTCTCTCTGTGGCTTGTCAGCCACCCGTGGGAGAGGAGACAGATGCCAGGGACTTCCCGTGCATCTCAGCTCCACCCTTTGCCCTTTGCCATGGACTTGATGGTGAGTTTCCTCCTGCATCTCACCAGAAGCAAAAGTGTCTTTTACTGCAGAGTTCTTGAAGGTAAGGCTGTGCCCTGCCTCTCCTCAGCCCTCTGCAGCAAACTCCTCCCCGCAGACTGAGGGTGACTGTCACCTAGAGAAGTTGTGGAACGGCTCCTGGTACAGAGCTCAAGCCACAGCTGTCACTTGTTCCTCATATTTCCATATGCTGATTGTTTCCTGTTGCAGAAAGTCCAGAAAAACTCTGAAAAGGGTTGGGTAGAAACAAAAGTGACTTTCCAATGACTCCATTTGCAGTGGTCTCCATTAGAGGCTTTGCAATGTCTCCATTGCAACAGAACCTGACATTCAGTGTCTGTCCTCTCAGGGACTTCGTGCACTAAAAACACAAAATCTCCTGTCACTTTTAACATCAATACCATCTGTGCCTGGCTTTTCTGACATGTCTAAACAGTCCACACATTGTCTTTGTTAAATATGGTTCCACAGCATGATTTTTACAGCAGAGAGCATTTGTGGTGTAGCTCGTTGCTACTGGACATATAAGCGATGCTAAGTCCTTGTCAGTTAACCTCAGCAAAGGTCGCTGTCCTTAGTATAAAATCCTATAAGAGGTCCTATAAGATATTGGCCCAAAGTTCCCCCACCTAATGATGGATCCAATTCAAAGATCCGAACTGACCTCTAGAATAATTAATGGATTTCTGTGCTCACCAGCATTGTAAAGGGCTCCCCCGCCCCGGCGTGGTCTCCATCATGGGGATGGCTAGTCATGATGTGTTCACTGGACTGAGATGCCCACTGAGCTGGCAACAGATTCTTTCTTGGTGTATTGTTTCTGTTCCTCCACTGCAGTCACACATACCCTTTGCGGATGCTAAGGATGCTGGCAGTGATCGCACAGCTCGTGAAGGGCTCTCAGTTAATGCTTGATGGATGCACAGAAGTTTCCACACACTGACTGCTCCCCCTGAGCACAGGGGGCCTGGCAAAATAAATGAAAGCTTTATTCAAAGCCAGCCCCGAGGACCGAGGGGCCTCAGACGCTATCGATCACTTTGTCACCGTTTGCAGGTGTGCAGGGGCCTCTCTATAAGGAAGACAGGACAGGAATGCTGTGAGACACAGACAACCTGGCTGGCTTTTCTCGCCACGCCCTGCAAACTCCCCTGCTCTTTTGCTGTGGGAAGCAAGCTGGCCTCTGACCTGGGCCAGCATCCGAGCGCTCTCTGTTTGCCTGAGCCTAAGAGAGGAGGGTATGGGGGTTTATGCACTGAGGAAGCCTGGAGAAGTGGGTCATCTTTACAAGAAGAATTCTAACTTAAAGACCCCTGTTGTGCTGTGGTTGTGCAAAGTGCTCCTTGGCGGGACCACTAGCACCTCTTGCTTGGATGCCTCTGGCCTGTCACCTTCTGAGGGACCTCCCCTCTTTCCTTAACCTCTCCAACTGCTCATCTCATCTGCCTTCCTCCCCATGGAGCTTCCTTTGTGTGGTCTCCGCTTGGAGTGGGGATGACCCAACACGGTACCCATGGCACTGTGTTTGCCATCTGCTGTAGCATAGGAAGACTAATTAGGGGTGAAAGAGTCAAACAAGGCAAAACCCGTCTTTCCCCACCCTGACCTAAAGTCCCACATTGAGCCACGGATGCATGACCACATGGTGTAGGTGTGTTTCAACAAGGATGTCACCTTGCTGTATGCATGATCATTGCTAATTTTTTTTAACTTTTTAAAAGTATATTCTATGTTGGATTTATATCCAGTGACAAATAGCATCAAAATTATTACAGTATAATCATCTAAAATCATCGTGGAAGCTAAGGCCTAACCTTTATTCTTGCTGTTCACTTTTTTAAAATTTTCAATGTACTACAAGTAGATATTCATAAAGAAAATATCCAAAGCACTTGTCTTTTATTAAAAATAAACAAATTTTATAAAATATAGTCAGAGAATGATTAATACGCTATGTATTATAATATGAAAAGAAAGCCAAAGTGTTATTCAGAGTACAGAGTACACAAAAACAAAAGTGTTTCTCTTTGTTTATTGAAAAAAAAAACTTTTGGAGCTGGGGATTTAGCTCAGCGGCATAAGCGTCTGCCTTGGAAGCAGGCAGTCATGAGTTCGATCCCTGGTACCGATAAAAAGGAAAAAGACCAAAAAATAAATGTAAAAAAAAAAAAACAAAAACTGTTTTTCCTTTCATCTGTTCCCTTTTCTTTATGTCTAAGGTTTTAGAAATTAAATTCTAGTACCTCAAAAAAAAAAAAAAAGAGTGGTCTATATTGTTTCTATCAATATGAACTTTAAAATAAAAGTTGCTTTTTACCTAAATTAGATTGCTATTACCTACAGCATTCATACTGTAAATGCTAAGGGGGAAAAAAAAACCCACTCCAAACACCTCTTCAAACAGAAATACATTATACTTGGGGTTTTGTTCTGAAATTGTGTGTCTCTTAATAAGCATCTGTTGAACAGAATTTCACTCCTGCAAAAAGCTTGAAAGAGATGATTTTCCATGCATTTTCTACAAATGATGTCATGCAGGGAGACAGGACCAAGCTGCCTGTAACCCCCCACCCCCACCCCCGTCCCAGGGTGAGCGCTTAGGAAACTCCCAATTTTCCACCAGCAGAGTGATTTAGGGAACAGCGTTGTGCACATTTCCAACTGTCCCTGCTAGCCGGTTCCTGGAAACAGTACTGGGCGGAAAGCTATGCGTATTTAAATTTTTACTAGACATCGCCAGAACTCTATTGCCAAAGAGACTTTACAGATTTATACTCTGGTTGGAGAGTATCTCCTTCCCTGAAGCCTCATAAATGATCGATTTTGTTCATCTTTTCCATGATTTATCACAATGATGGGAAAAGTATTAAATTATTTTAATTTTAATTATTACATTTCATGTGATAAATTTAATTTCTCTTGTCCGTTCAGTTAGTAATGGGGTTGTAGCATCTCTTCATGTTTATTGACTGCTTAAAAAATATCTTTTCTGAATTGCCTGTCTGTAATTATAGCTGTCCATAATTGGGTTGCTGTCTCTCTGGTGTGTGTGTGTGTGTGTGTGTGTGTGTGTGTGTGTGTGTGTGTGCATTTCTGGTCACTAACTCTTTGCTATTATTTGTGACACACACATTTCCTTCTGTCACTGAGTTTTCCATTTTATGTTTTGTTTTAACATAGAGACATTTCACACTTTCAGGATATTTTTGTAATCGAATTTGTCATTTTTTTCCATTATGGTATTGCTTTTTCCAGTAGTCACTTTTTATTAAGGCGTAATTTACATTCAATAGGCTTCTCGTGGTACCTCTGTTAATGTTTGATTTTAGAAAGTATTTCCTGCCCCAAGTTTATAAAAATGTTTTTCATATATATTTCGGTAATATATTTACATGAATAAAAGTAAGCTTTGTTCTTTTTTCTCTTTGAATGCACTTCTGTGTCCATGCTAATTACTTAGTTAGCTATGGTAGCTGATAAAATTCATTCCAAATGTTAACTTTCTGTCTCCTCTGTCTATTAAACAGAGATTTCCCTGTTATAAGCTAAATTTCTATATTTAAATACAAAAGGTTTATGCCTAACAATGTAGATCTATTTTAATTATTATGGAATAGGACAAATATCTTTCTTTAAATGAACAATCTAGCTATTTTCTTTAAGAGAATCATGAGAAGCAACTTACACAGTTTTGGGGAAATTTTGATGGGAGCTTAATTTTACTGACTTTCTAAATTGCTTTGGGGTGGCCACATGCCTCTGCTTTGCTCTGCTTTCTGGAGCTCTGACAAAATACCTGCGGTTGGGTTGTTTAGGAAGAGAAGAGGTTGTGGAGGCCAAGAGTCCAAGACTGGGTGGCACCATTTGCTTGGCTCTCTGAAGGCCTCTGGCTACCCCCAGACGTGGAGGACGGGTGTCAGAGGGGAGGTCTCAAGGAGAGACAGAAGGCCAGAGAAACCCAGTGCCCACTTGCCCTGTACATAGCAACTCACCCCAAGAAACGAACTGGGGTCCTGTGAAGAGGACGGTGATCCCTTCTGACCTCCACCTCCACCTCCCACCAGGCCCTGCTCTTTCTTCGGGTTCTCCTGCCTCATCCTCCGCCTGGGTGGGGACCGGGCCTCCAGCACCTGAGCCCACAGACCACATCTGAACCCTCACAGCACCTTAGAGGCCTTTCCTACTTCAGGTGTCTCTGTCCAGGGACCCATCAGGCTCCTTCACAAATCTGGTCTTTTTTTTTTTTTAATGTCATCTATAAAAATATCTTCCCATGCCTCGTGATCGTTTGCATGATGTTTTATTTGCAAGTAATCTTAAGCAGGATCCACCGCTCCTTCTGTACACACACACAGGCATGGAGCCTTGAACAGGCCGATGGCTGATGGAACAAGTCCGACTTTGGTTGGTTTGTGTCAGCAGCATCATGAGCTGCTTTACAATGTCAAGTTGCTTCTCCATGAGTCTGGGAACTTCTATCTCATTTGATTTTCCTAATCACATGACACTCGCCAGAACTTTCCAGAGAGGAAGCCACCTTTCGTATGACACAGTGAGTGCTCCTTTTGTGTGACCTTACTATGAATCTCTGCTTTGTCTTTGGTTTGTATCTTGACCGTGCACAACTTGCCAGGCAGTCTCAACAGCTTCAGGCCCCCGGTTGCCATAGTGAGAAGCCGCCTTTAAGGAACCCGTGACTTAGTCCTGATCTCCGAGAGTGAACGTACCAGAAAAGCGCACGGGATGGCCTTGGTAGTGTCTCTTGGTGACTTACCTTTCTGCTCTTGAGTTTCTTAAACTCCTTATTCACAGACCCATTCTAGAAGCCTGCCACAGATAGATGATCATTTTTGAAACTTACTTTTTCTCTTCTTTTTTGCTTTAACTGTGACATTTGTATGACTTTTGGAATTCTCCTATTTTCCAGGATTTCTCACTTTTCCTTACTAGAGTCACTTCTGACGTACATGTGTGTGGTCTCACTTAGAAAACATCAGCCATTCTTCCCTGAGGAGGGGAGAGATGTTGAGGGGGCAGATGGTGGTGGGGAACTGGCTGGGAAAGATCTTTGCTGGGAAGCCCACTCACCAGGCTGCTGAACAGACTAAATCCATGGGTACTATTGGGGTGTGCAACTGAGATATTTGATTGGTTTGCAGAAAAGCCCCGATTTAATTTAACTTCTCCATTCTTTAAGTGTCCCTGCTTGGGGATTTAAGTCCTTGCTGTGTGTAGCCATGGAATCAAGTCTGTTACCACAACATCAGTGCACATCACTGTGCTTCGATTGCTTTCTTGCAAAGGGATGGATTCCCAGAGGTGTCCAGGAACCCATACATAGCCTTTGGCCTGTCATATCCAAGCTGCATCCCTGGGGCAGTGGCCCTGACAGAGGCCAGCTCAATAGTCACATACCTATCAGATGCATTTTGGTGGCACACAACATAAAATAGCAGAACAAGAAAATGTAAGACCAAACCAACTGACCAGCCCACCCGTATCTGTGGTGGTGCTTGATTAATTCAGCTCTATGCAGGTTTGGTTTATCTCTAACTCTCTGTGTGTCTCTGATTCATGTGTGTGGTGATAAAAATCATCCCTGAGCCTACTACTTTCATTGTGAAAATTATTAGAGATCAGATATTTTAAAGAAAGGAGAAGTTAAATTAAATCAGGGCTTTTCTGCAAACCACAGTTGTGTTGGGCTTGCGGGGGGGGTGGCTCCTGCATACCCCAAAAGTGGCTAGTGTGAGGTGGTATAAAGCCATACAATGGAAACGATGAACTGTGAGTCTCTAGGGGACACCAAGTCCCGTTCAGCTGCCTGTAGAGAATCCATCACGGTGAAGAACTCGTTAATGTCATTTTTTTCCATGCAAGTAAAAAAGAAAATGCAAAGTCTGAGAGATGCAGTATCTTAAATCGCCTGTGTCCCATGATAGTTTTTTGCCAGTGGAAAACCCTGCTTGACAGGAAGTGGGTTGAGCAGCCAGTCGCAAAGTCACGCAGCATGGGAATCCCCCGGGGGAAATGTGCAGTTTGATAACTTTTAATCGTTTTGTCAATGACATTGGGAAAGGAGCCTGCATCACCCTAATGAACTTTACAGGAAATGCAAGATTGGGAAATACTCTTTCATCAGCCGTGAAGAGTAAAACATAACAAGGATGATTCCAGAGAGGTAAGAAATAGAGGCAGGAAATAACAAAATGAGATTCGATTTGCAGGAAGACAAGAGCTCACATTGGGGGAGCGCGAATCTCCAGCACTGTGGATTATCACCCAGAGGCCAGGGGCTGTGTCTGCTGAGGGCTTCCCAGGCACGGCAGAGGGAGAACTGGATCTGACTGCACGGCATGGTGGTGATTTCCAGCCACATCCCCGAGGAGGAAGGCAAGTGTGTCACATCTACGACACTGGTGAGACTCTAATGCGGCCACATCATCCCTCATTTCCAGAACTCATTTCCAGAAAGACAGACTCACGCTGGAAGAGAATGGCAAATGATCACAGGAAATGAGCTGCTGCGTTCAGGGGCAGGATCTGCTCTTCCGCGGGCAGGAGGCTCTTTGCTCAGCGCTGGAGGAAGCTGAGTCAGAAAACAGTAGCCACGGGTGCTGGGGGATCATTTACCCCTTCACCCAGTGGCGTGGATCACTGAGTCTGCTTTTGTTGCTCTAACAGAATATCAGAGATGGGCTGTGCATGAATTACAGAGCTTTATTTAGCTCATGGTCCTGGAGGCTGGGACCCCTAAGAGCATGGCACTGGCATTGGTGATGGCTTCATGGCCCTTGACGAAGAGGGCATCGCATGACAAGACAGGACATGTACGCCAAAGAGAGCTCACTTGGGGACCAAGCCAACCTTAATGCCCCCACTCATTGATCCAGGAAGATGACTTCATGATCCAGCCCCTCCCAAAGCACCCACCTCACCACCTGCTGTCTTGGGGACCAAGCTTCCAACTCATGAGCTTTCCAGAGCACACCCTAACCCGAGTGGCTGTTATCTGACACCTGCTGACCCCTGCTGGCAGCAATGGGCCTAGGAACACAGAGGGGTGGGGAGATTTTCATCTACAAGGTGGTTCCAGTGCTGCGTGCCCCTCATGGGCTGAGGGAGAGGGGAGGACTGGAGTGGACCCTGGCAGTTTATGGGGGGTCAGTGTGGATAACCAGGGAGGCAGCACTCGGCAAGGGCTGGCACTGAAGACTGAGGGTTTCCACTTGATTTTGGAGGCCAGCGTGCTCAATCTTGCCTGGTAGAAGAATCCATAACCATCGTTAACACATGCCTGGGAGACTCCAGCTTATCAGGGCCAGCCCGAAATCTGAATATTCCTCATTTGATGGAGGGGACCCTCCCCCTAAGCAGGCTAGGGAGTCCGCTATAGTGCTGTAAGCCATAGGAAACTGCAGAACGATTCAGATCTCTTGATGGACCCCTCTGTTGGCTGCTTGGGGCATGAATTTGGGAGATCATATTGCAGGGTAGCAAGCAGAGGGCTTTGTAGCTGCCCAGGATTCACAGATAGAGGATTAAATCCACCAGGAGCAGGGGACCCATTCTCAGCTGGACTAGGAAGTCTTGGCTGGCTGAATAGCATGGGCAGGGCAGAGGGCTGTGTGTTTATGGGGGTCATTGATGGGTGGGTGTAAGGTGGTGCCCACACTGACAAAGCAGTCACAGGAGGGAAGAGCTGGTCCACAGAGGTAGGAGGGCAAGAGGCTGGAGGCTGGCAGACTGGCACTTCCGGTAGGCACAGGCACATTGGCTGGGAGGCTCCTCTGCAAGCTCTAGGTTAGGCAGGTGAAGGCTGGGGATGGGTGAGGCGGGGCTGAGAATGGAACCTGGGAAACCCCAAGGCTGGTGTTGCAGTGCTCCTGCAGGGGAGGAGCCCCTGGAGAGTCAGGAGGAGCAGCTGTTCCTGGCCAGGCCAGGGATCTAGGATCAGGAAGACACAGGGAACACACTGCTTGGGGGAGGGGGGTTGAGGTGTGTTCACCTGGATCCCTGTAGCCATTGACAGCCACTCGTAGGTCCCAGTGTCCTGGGTAGAGGGGGACCTCACTGCAGAAGAGACATGGCCATGTGAGTGGTAGGATCATTCCCTCCCAGGCCCAATGCCCACATCTGAGTGTCCTGTGCCCAGAACCAGGGGAGAGCACGGCTGAAGTGGGTGGCACTTGGAAAACAGGATGAAAACTAGAGAATCTGATCAGAGGGTAGGGTCAAAGCCAGCAGGGAGATAGACAGCTCTGCCTGTCTGTCCCTCTCACCAAGGGGGAGTCTTGTTTACTTTCCTGCCTGGCAGGCACCATACCCTCGTGCACAGAGTCCCAGGGACTCTTGGCTTTTGATGCCTTTAGGGTGAGGAAAAAATCAACAAAGCCACTGAAGAGTTTTGCTTTTAAAGTAACAGTTTCCAACA